AAACACTTGATTTCTGAATAAGCCCACACTTAGGATGCATATGTATTAATTCACATTATTTGTTCTCAGAAGACAGCTTTGTAAAAGGGAGTACAGCCAGTTTAGAGAGGGGAACATTTTTTGGCAGCATCACAGCACTCAGCCAATCAGTGCTTTTGCATTTGAACCCTTGGAGAAGCCTTTTTGTCCCAGGGCTGGGGAACCTTTTTGGTTTCATCTTCCCACCCCTGTGGGCCAACTTTGACAGCTGGATGCGATAACCCTCCTGTGGAAGTCCCTGGCCCAGCACTTCCCAGCTGGTTGTCTGGTGCTTGGGAACCAAAGCACATGGGGCTTTAACACCCCTGCACAAAGAACATGGGAAACACTGAGCCTGGGGCTTGCAAAGCACTTTGCACAATGCTTTCCACACGCCCAACAAGCAACTGGCTGTCAGGCATATGTGAAGTGCTGCACAAAGCGCCTTGCAAGCCCTGAGCTCAGCATTTCCCAAACACCAGGCACAGGGCCAGCAAAGCTGATTTCTGTAGGGATTAACTGCCGTCTGCACCATCAAGTACCCCATAGGAACTCAGTCACACAGCCAATTCCAGTTGAGCCCTGTCTCTACCTGCCCCACAGATGACATCAGGTAAGTGGGTACAGTTTGGTGAAAACTGCCCCCATGGGCCAGAGGTTTCACACAAGTAGTGTGTTGGTGCACAGTGCTCAAAAAGTTTCATTACACTATTCCCTTGCTCCTGCCACACTGCAGATGAAACAAGCCACAATCTGGCTTGTTGTGTTATCAGAACCTGGGCTCAAGGTCTGTTCTCCACCACAGGTAACCAAGAACAAACATCCCAGGTTGAGACAGCCCAACACTGACTCTGGCTCCGGCTTGTTTCATCTGCTGCCTGAGTGGGGAAAGAGCAGCGTGGGACTCTTTGAGCAGCAGGCACTAGTCTGCTCCTCATTCACATTAAAACGATAGGTTGTTTTGAACTGTGGTTCGGTGTGTCGTGCAAGCTGGGGCTCTCTTTGCCAATGAACAAAACACCAAGCTTAGAAAAATCTACCCAATGGATGAAGGAAACGGAAATGGAGTCAGAAGCCCCCAGGGAAGGCCGACTGGCTGTGCTGTGCTCCGTCTGCTATGCAGGAATATCTTGAAAAGGAAATTGCCTAATAGCAACTGAACAGTTCTGAAACTACTGGGCAAACCAGACCTACAAAGGAAAATAGCTTTTTACCTTATTCAAACAACATTTCTTTACTGTAGGGGAAGGGGTGGGAAATAACTGCTTGCTCTAAGGAGAGCAGTTAGGAATACTGTAATATACAAATATAATCTAAGATTCTAAAGTGGCCTGCTTTAGGGAGGTGCAGGCAGTTCCGCCCCCTCCCCACAGGGCACTGAGCTGAGGGGGTGCAAAATTGAGAAGATCCATTTGGGGGCACCAATTTTTGGCCTTGCGCAGGGTACCATTTTACAAAAGACTACCAAAGTCTGGCCCTGGTGGTCACTATTGCTTATTTCTAATTAGTGCCACAGCTAATTGCTTATAATTATTGCTTATAACAGTGGCTCAAAGTACCACTGATAGGAGAGGACTAATTCCTGCAGCACAAGAAAGAGTAACATCAATGGGAGACCTGTGCCTTGCCAGGCGCTGCTGGACTACAATCCCATCATCCCTGGCCATTGACCACACTGGCTGCAGCTGATGGGAGCTGGAGTTCTCCATCCCTGCTTTTCCCCTGCAGTTCCGCTTGTGGAGAGGGATCGTATTCACTGGCCCAGGCCCCAGCCTTCATGGACTCGCTGTTTACACAAAAGCGTAAGCTACACTGAGCTAGATGGAGCAATGGCACAAGGCAGCCTCTTATGTTCCAAGTAACTATTTTAGGATTGTTGTTTATGTTGTTTAATAATTAAGGGGAAGATGTAATGACAGAGTTTGTAACTTAGAGATATTCCCTCAGTATTAAGAAGGACTTGCCTTGAGATTGCATGATCAAAAAACTAGATATTGTTGCACAAGTTTGACTTAAAGGCTCCGAAGAATAAAGCTGTTTCAGGCCATTCCTCCTCTTTGTCTGTGGACCCATAACTATTATGCCAGGGGCTGCTGATTGCAAACCAGAGAAACTGTTGTGGTCCCCACACTAAACTGCAAACATGCGTCTGCTGCAACCTGTTCTGTTGGCTGCCACAGATTGCTTCTTTCAAGTGTAATTTTGGCCAGAGGAGGGCTGGGGAAAGGCCCCTGTTCAGGCATGTGCATTTGTGGGCACAGTGTTGGTGGCCTCCGGCCCACACACAGTCACAATGAAAACTGGTGCGTTAGGGTTGTTGTTATTAAACAAAAACAACCCAACAACTTCAGACTTACTTGCCTGAAAATAAAAGTGATTTTTTAAAATTTGCATTTTACAGTAAATGCAAGTAAAAATTGCCAGTTCTTAAAACAAAATATGGCCAATATTGGGTACTCCTTTACAGCACAATTTATATTAACTTGGCCCAGAATTTAGGTTTTTTACAGATACAGAGCACACACCTATTTTTTCTTCTTATTTATACTGCCCTTCATCCAAAGATGACAAGGCAGTTCACAACATAAAAATACAAAATGAGAACACAAAAGACATAAAGCACAGAAAAACCAATAGCCCCCCCCTCCCCGCACAAACACATATAAAAGTCCACAGAATGTTATTCAGCCCAAGGCCTGGTTTTTCAGAGACGTTTTCACCTGGCGCCTAAAGATATCTAATTAAGGCGCCAGGCGAACCTCCCTGCAGTCCTACTCACAGCCCTATCTATGCATAGCTCTCCGCAGCCCACAAGATTTTTCCACCATTACAAACTTTGATTAGATTTGAAGCTATCTGGAAATGGATAGCATGGATGGATAAGGAGAGGTTTACAGAATACAGGTTTCACTATAGCTCATCTTTTAAAAATAATAATAGTAATAAGAATAGCTCCACCTAGACCTAGCCAGCCAAAATCTGAAACTAGTTTATAAACTATCTGGGGAGAGTAATCCAACTCACCCTGGCTGAGCCACTTACCCCTGCAGCTTATGTTTTGGGCAGACAACTGTCCTTATCTGATAAGAAAGGAATGAGATGCTGTCATCACCTCTCTCACCTTTCCAGAAAAGCTGGGTTGTGCTGCTGCTGCTGTTGAGTGTCTTTGTTGTGCAACTTGCTCAAAGGAGAAACATTCTCTCAGTGAGTAGCCTCCAGTCTCTCTACCAGAAAGCTGAACTGACTCATCTGGGTTTCTTAAGTGAACTATTTGTTCCCCACTTTATAGAACAAATACCTGTATGGTAATCCCTGTAGGCTGATGTCAGATGGAAGTCATAATTCTCTTTCACACAGTGCCCTTTTCTACTCACAATAACAATTTCCCAAAATCATACTGTGCACTAGGAGGAACAGGCTGCTTCTTGACCAGTGGCTGTAACTTTAAGTTCATTTATGAGTAAGCCTCATTGGACACAGTGGGACTTACTTTTGAATAATCATGCATACAGTGCTTTTTTTCTTTAAAAATGTTTAGGGGTACTCTCATTTTGACTCAAGAAAATCACCATTTATAGTTCAAATCAGGGAAAATAAATACAGTGAATGGAGAAAAGTTCACAAAATGTTTAGGGGTACAGTGGTACCTCAGGTTAAGTATTTAATTCATTCCGGAAGTCCGTTCTTAACCTGAAACTGTTCTTAACCTGAAGCACCACTTTAGCTAATGGGGCCTCCTGCTGCTTCTGTGCCGACGGAGCACGATTTCTGTTCTCAACCTGAAGCAAAGTTCTTAACCCGAGGTAATATTTCTGGGTTAGTGGAGTCTGTAACCTGAAGTGTATGAAACCCGAGGTACCACTGTATGCGTACCCCTGCATACCCCCAGAAAAAGGACTGCATGCATAGATTTGTACTGTAAATGCCTTAATGCTAAATATATATATAGTGGCTTCGTTCCAGTTGAATTTATGCCATTGGCTCCAAGTAAAACAGTAAGCACGCTTATTTGGGCATAAGCTAAGCTTACCAGATTCTTTTTCAGTGAATCTGGGGACACTTTTCAACTTCAATGGATTTTGTATGGGGACTGATTTGTAAATCTGGTGATTGTCCCCGGGAAACGGGGACGTCTGGTAACCTTAGCGTAAGCCCCATTTTGCTCAGTGGGATCTGCTTTGGAAGAAACACGCTTTGGATTGACCTGGAAGTGGGTGGTTCAGGGGTGCAGCCCCCTGGCCTGATTTTGCAGACAGCTGTACTGGCATCCCCACCCCCCGGTGTGATGAAGCTGTGTCACAGAAGGGCATTTTTACAACACTAAGAGGAGCCCTACAGGATCAGACAAAAGGCCCATCTAGTCCAGCATTCTGGTCTCTATGGGAAGCTTGCAAGAAGGACCTGTACACAACAGCAACTGGCATTCAGAGAATCAGAAACAGAAGAATCTTTATTTGCACCAGCCACTGGCCATAGCAATAAAATAAAATACAATGTACTGAAGACAGAGGTGAAAATTTAACTATACAAAATACATTCTGGAGGTTTACATCACTAAGGCATTCAGAGGCCTACTGCCTCTAACAGTGGATGTCAAATTTTGCAACGGTGGCTATTAACCTTATCCTACATAAATCTGTCTAGTCCTTTCTTAAGCCCATCCAGGCTATGGCCATCACTATCTCTTGTGGGACACAGAAGCAGAATCAGGAAATGATTCCTCCCTCTGTGGCATCCTCTGACAGACACCCTCAACTAAATGGAATAAAATAAAAAGAGGCAATTGAAACCTTGCCTTTCATTACATTCATCAATATAATTGATGCCATATCTACTCAAGTTTGCATATCTGTTGTATTACGCTATAGCAGTTTTAAAAACAAAGCTTATGAATGAAAATTAGAATAATGGAATCATATAACTGTACAGTTGGAAGGGGCCACAAAGGTCATGTAATTCAACCCCTGCAATGCAGGAATCTTTTGCCCAACATAGGTCTCAAACTTACAACCCTGGGATTAAGAGTCTCATGCTCTACCAACTGAGCTATTGGAAGGAAATGAGAGTTGCCTTTACTGTCCTTCTAATCCAAGAAGGAAGAACCTGCAAGACTCCAGATCCCATCAGACCAGGACAGCATGGCCACTTGGTGGGGATGATGGGCATTGTAGTCCTGCGGTGTCTAGACAAATACAGATTCCCTACCCCTAACCTAAATGAGCTCATCATGCATTCTGCTTACAATGTGATTCCTGAGTAGGTGGATAGGTAATAATTATTACTAATAGATATATGTAACTAATCTAAGAGGGGAGAAGGAAAAAGTTGGCTGGGGGCAGGGGTGACACTGGTGAAATAGCACCTGAAGAACCAGTTTACAAACAAACAAACAAACAAACAAACAAACAAACAAACAATTATTATATTTGTAGTGCCTAAACATGAAATTTCCACTCCATCAAAGTAACTACTTTTGACCTGAAAATCAAAAGAAGCAAAGATTCAGCACAGCCCTGTCTAATTTCCTTTGGATCACAAACAAAGCATGAAAAGTGTGAAGATGGGATTCACTGAAGACATTTAAAGTATGTTAAAAAGAGAGCTTTGGGATAGTATGCCCATCCCAGCACAGTCATTTCCACTGATTCTTCACCTTCCACCAACTGCCCAGAGGCACTTTCAGTGAGTCAGTGGTCATTTTCCCCAGTATCCAACACACTGAGCCAGAGAGCATTGGGATAATTTGCCTTGAGAAATCAGCACTGCCAGAAGCAAATTCTTATGGGCCTTATCCTCTGTCAGTCTTTTCCATTGCTATACCCACCCCATCCCCCCAACAAACACCTGTAATTTTCCTTTGAGGTCATTGCATAAAGCTTATCTTTCTCTGAGATAGCAAAGTGGAATTTTACCAATGGGAATGGTGATTCCTGATTCTATTCTGAGTCTTGAGTATGTTAAAGGGTTTCATCTTGCAACTTCCGTTGAGGGTGGAGATAGATTTTGGAGTAGGTGGAGGCAAAGGATTTGCTTCAATAAATACAACCGAAGATCACTTCCCATGGGATACTTCAGCTTGTTTCTCAGTTGCTTGCCCATTACCAGGAGCTGATAGCCAACAATGTTGCCCAAAATTGCAATTCTCTCAGCATTAGCTCTTGTTCTGATCATACAAGGTAAGCAAAACACTTTACAAATGCATACTTTAAGGAATATTAGTGTTAGCGTTTCGTTAAATTCTTCTAATGCTAGATGGAAAAGTTAATCGTGCCTTAACATTCTGGGATGATGATTATGTCTGAGTACATTGCCATAGGAGTTTGGTGTATGTCAGTACCCAGGTTCTTGATATCTGGTAACAGCAGACACCTGGCATTTTATAAATGTTGCTGTTTTTAATTTTCCAGAGGCTTCTCTTGCGCCTGTGACCCAGGAACCAACCACAGGACCAAGCGAGGGGGCAACGCTTAAGTCAAGCAAAGAACCAGGTGGTGAAGAAAGCACAGAAGAGCCGACTGATGAAACAAGCTTAGGGCCAAGCGCAGGGCCAAGTGAGGAGCCCAGCACACAGCCAGCCGAAGAGTCGAGTGGCGAAGCAAGCGGAGAAGCGAGCGGAGAAGCGAGCGGAGAAGCAAGCGGGGAAGGAAGTGGGGAAGGAAGTGGGGAAGGAAGCGGAGAAGGAGGTTCACATCTTATTCAACTAGGCACAGAGGCAAGCAAAGAGCCAACCAAGGAGCCAAGTACAGAGCCAACTTCAGAGGCCGCCCCAGAGATCAGCGTAGAATCAGGAGATTTTTCACTTATCCTGCCAACTGAAGAAACCCATGGAGATGCAAGCAAAGAGCCAAGCACAGAGCCAAAACCAACTGCAGCGTAAACAGACAAGTCAAGTAAGTTATTTCTGCAATTACTGTGACCTTGTTAGCAACAGTTTCCCTTCTTAGAACTGGTTTGTATGTGACACTTTGCACAAGGACTGGCATCCTCCAAGAGAATACCCCACTTCCCAGCTCCAGTCGCCACATGATTTAATGATGGTGTAATCAGTAGGATAGATTGACTCAGTGCCCTGTTCCCAACAGACACAGTAATTTGTAATGAAGTATAGGAGTGAAGATGAGAAACTCAGTGTGGCAATGTCACTCCGACAAGTTTAACAGAGAGACCATGGGGCCTTCCAGATATTGTTAGGTTGCAGCTCCCATTGTCCCTGCCCATTCAACATGCTGGGGGGGGGGGCTAGTGAAAATTGGAACCCAACATCGAGGAGGGGGGGCGGATCACACTGACTACCCCGATAAAAGCCACCTCTTGTACTTAATAGATATCAGGATTCCTGAATGCTGCAGAAGCAGGAAACCCCAGACCATGATGAGTTCCATGCTCATCAGTTCACTGTTAAGTGCCCCCCCTGCAACAATCACAGGGGTTGTCTTTTTACATGCAGCATGTGAGTTAGCAGTACACCTGGCCAACATATCACTGGCTATTGTGCAGGAAAACAGCATGCACAATCCTTCCCCACCATAACCAAGTTGTGTAAGCTAGGATTAAGGAAATGAGTAGTATAAAGCTGAGACTTCCAGTCCCAGGATTCTACTTTTTTAAGACTCCTTTTGGCACAGACACAGTAGCTTACAGTCCAATGCTAAGCTTGTTTACTTTAGAGGCAAGTAGTCCCTCTTAAGTTAAATGGGACTTGTACTCTGCTAAATGTGTTTAGGGTCATAACCTTACAGCAGAAGTAGATATATGTCTACTCAGAAGTAAGGCCCACTGAGTTCCATATGTGATTTGCAACTTAAATCTCTCTTTTCTACTGACTTGGTCCATAGGTCATGCTAAAATAGCATCACAGGAGCAACTTTAGCTAGAATTTTGGGTGTGAATTTGGAGGGGGAACTGAAAGCATAGAGGATTCCTCTCTCCTTCCTCCCCCCTCATCTGTCATCTCCCCTCTTCCTTGCAGCAAATTTTATGTGGGTGGGGAGGGTGAGATAACTGCAGCGGCGTAGCGTGGGTTGTCAGCACCCGGGGCAAGGCAAGTAATTTGCGCCCCCTAACCCGTGGATTTTCGCAGGGGGCAGAGAGCTGTGAGTGTGAGCGCGCGCCCCCCAGATGTTGCGGCCGGCCCCCCTGCACCCCCCACGCTACGCCACTGGATAACTGGACCACAAAGAAAAGGTGTCATGTCTGTCTTCTGCGTCAGGAGGTTTGGAGAATCATATTCTGTGCTCAGGGCGTGAGACAGCATCCCTAAATGAAACTTTGGTGCAAGAAATAAGCTCCATGCTAAACTTTTAACATAGACGGATGTCATGGAAGAGCCTAGTTTCTTTTAACCAGAACCAAGACAAGCAGAGGATAAGATCATGGGGACGCCACCTTTTCTCCTGTGTGATTAGGTTCAGGGGGAAATTATATGTATGCTAAGAAGTCAGTGCTTCTACCTATATTTTTAATAGGCAAATAATTTGACTAAATACTAACCCCACATATTGCCTGCATCACAGTGAGGAGTATAGAAATCCAGTCTGCTTTTCTGTGAGGCATCTGTAAATTTTTAACTTACTAGAGGCACTTAATGACTTCCTTCTTTCCTTTTGCCTTTACTTACTTACACTTGGGTGTGTGTTCTGCCATCTTTGCGCCAGCAATTATGGCCCAAGTTCTCTATCAGCATTGCCACTGTTTTCTGGCAGAGCTAAAGGCCCAAGAAAGTTTGGTAGCTGATAGCCTTACAGCTGATAAAGGCACAGGAGCCCTGGGGGTGGGGGGTTGGAGACACGCAAGACCAACCCCACTGGGCAATGAGACAATTATTTACTCACCAGAACACAGCTGTTAGCAGTGAAGAACATTCAGATCATGTGTTCCCACTGCCACCACAGGCTCTCTAGACAACATGGAAGTAATGTCAGAGAATAAAAATGCACTTTAAAAACTTAAATATCAAATTCTTTTGCTGTTGCCTCTGAAATTTCCTTAGGAATCACATGTACAAACTTTTAGTCTAAGTGATAATAAATTGGGGATTGGTACTCCAGCTTTGTTAATCATGCTTAGTTAAATGAATCTAGAATCTCTGTACAACTTCATTGCCACTGTAATGGCCCCCTGTGCAGCCTTGCTTTTCTCTGATCTTTGTCTTGTGTTTTTGTCTTCAGAATAAAAAGAAAATGAACCCAGAAAGAGAACCTGAATTGATGTCTTCCTGATAATGTTGTCTTGATTGAAGTTGCCCTCCAGTAAATGTAGGTTTAATGCCAACAAGCCTTAAACCTAATTGGTTGGGTTTCAGATAAATAAGTATCTGGTGGTTTATCCCACCCAGTCCACTACATTTTGTTTGTTATTTATTAAACTGTGACACGCCAGACAGCTCGCAGTGGACTTGTAGCAGTTATACTGTGTTAATGCTACTATCACTTTCCCTTCCAATCATCTCCCACACCGATGGGCTCTCTCTGTTGTATGTGCCCTCTGCTTTGCAAACTAAAATAAAAATGGAATGACATTATCACCATTTGTACTGTGCTGTGTTACTGTTTCCAAGCCTTTCCCAGTTCGCCATTCCTTACAAGCCAGTCTTTACCCTATAGACTTGTAGCCTCATGTTGCAGGAATTTATGTATAGGTTTGGAGGGGTTGCCCCTCCAGCCGATATCATGCACATGCAGCCCACTACCAAAATCAGCCCAATCACTTTTGTGACTTTCCCCAAAAAAACACTTCATCACAGTTTCTTCCTATCTATTCAAAAGGCCTCTGCTGCACAGTATCAAATGTAACAATTAACTGATAAATGTATCTTTGTACTGGGTCACTGGGAAAACATCAGAAATTCATATAGATATGTGAGCTCAGCTACTCAGCAGCCCTTCTGCCTGAGTGATAATCCCTGGCATCCTGATACCTGAGTGCCAGACAGGTAGCCGTTCCAGAAATAACAAACCCAGATGGAGACAAAAGGGTGGGATTAACTTGGCTGGGAAACAGGGAAATGTAAATATCTCTTTTGTTACACTTGATGGGTGTTTGGTGGAGGGCAAGGGGAACCACGGGGCAGGGTCCAGGATGCTCAGAGTACGGCCACCAGACCTCCCCTTTCATGATGTAACCATGATGTATTAGTGATGTAGTTTGGGGGGGTGTAACATGGGGATTAGCAGCTAATAAAAGTTTGGGTTCTCTTTTGTTCGGGGTTTCCATCTTGTTCCACCTTGTGGCAGGTGGGAGTCCTGTCGCAACAATCTTCAATAAAGACCAAGCCTACTGGCTGCTGTTTTGCTCTGGTATTCCTGGCTGGTGTCCTTGTTTTTTGTCCAAGGGAGCCCTCAGATTTCTCCATTAACACTCACAAATTCCATTTTAAAGGGGATGCGGATTACAGAGAGACAGAAGACCTCTTCAGGTGAGCACATTCAATATTATCTAAAACGTGGAGGGGGGGAGGGTAGTGAGAAAGGATGTGCTAGCTCCAGCCCCTGTGCTCTTCTGCAAGTTGGAGGGCAAATTTGTGAACCCTGAAAAATCCAGAGATCTAAAAACATGCAGAGAGGCTTTTGAGTACAGGGGGCGCTTCTGACAGCCATCTTCCAACTTGTGGAGGACAAGAAGAGCAGCAGGTGGGTCCAGCGCACACCCCCACAGGCCCCTTCACATATTTCACTAAATTCAGATCTACACCTAAAAGGCTAGGGATATTTACATAGAAATACTTGCAACTCTTTACATCAAGAGTCTGATTCTCTCCAGTCCTTTTCTCCCTGATCCCCCAACCAATTTTGGCAGAAAAGGATTAGCCAGTTAAAGCAGACACAGCATTGGGGTGGGTAGAGCCAAGCTCCTTAGTAGGGATGCAAATTGCTCCCTCCCATTGTCATCAGATTGATCATTTTCTTGGCAGGGGAGTCAATAATATACCCCTCAAACAATTCACATTGGGCTGTCTACCTGCACATGCACAAAAGTGTGAAGTTTCCCCTCATTGATGTGTACCCCTCTCTCACACACAACACACTACTAACGGAGCTAGGTAGGACTGTTTATACTGTATTCAGAATATGGTAGTTTTTTGGGTTTTTTTACTTTTCAAAAGCTGATGCAAGGTAGTATCAAGCACAAAGGTTGCTGACTGCTTTGGTCTGAAAGCCACATGCACTCTTGGCCAAACCTCCCTCCCCTCCACATCCACACTCTTGCACATACACAGGGCACAGCCCCCTTCTCAGCTGAGGTGAGTTTATCACCCCCTCCCTGGTCATCAAGTGATTATTTGATGACCAAGGAGGGAGTGATTTGCATCCCCATCAGGACAGGAGCAGAATAACTTGGGTGTTTGTGGGTTAGCCACCCGGATTTAGCAAGTGAGCGTCTCTCCGCCCCCCCCATCAATATAACAGTGTGTTATTCTTCCCGTTCTCAAGAAATCAAATCTGACTACAGCAATGACATCACAACTTCCCTGCCTTAAACTTTCAGCTGCATGTAAAATACTAGAAGTTGGCTATTTATTTTGTATGAGGAAACCAGAACCCACCCCTTCTTAACAGGGCCATAATGTGGCACAAGTTGAAGGTGCAAACATCAGTGTTGCATTTGTGAGAGAGAACCTGTTCTGCCTAACAAGTCGCCAAGTTTCAGGAGAAAGGGGCAAAAATTATCCAAACCTTTAGACCCATGTCCCCAGATATGCTTGCATGCACAGCTTTGCAAAATGTCTGGGCTTGACGTGTTCATGGTATGGTACCAGTATTATAGACTAGAAGTACACCCTTGAGGCCTAGTAGTGATCAAAGAGCCTCCAGACTGGCTCCCCTTTGAGAACATGCCATTTATGATTGTGCAGTAAAACTAGCAGAAAGAGGGCTACTTTACTCTTTTCTCAAAGTGAATGGGAAGTCAAGTTTCTATGAAAGAAACATGGAGTGGCTGAGTTTAAGAGCCCTCGACTTGAGTGGATAACAGTTGCACAAAAGAAGTGTCAAAAACTGGTTGCATTGAAAAGAACATTTGCATGTCCTTTGTGTGGTGACAAGCGCTTGGAATAAATCAGATAGCACTTTTCAGCGACAAGAAAAGAGGAGTGAGAATTAGGCCTTTTCCCGGAAGACCTGGGATTCTCTTCCGTGTTCTAAACCCATCTTGATTCACTGTGAGCCTGACAATCTTAACAAATTTAAGCTGCTTAAAATTATGGGTTCTTTAGTAGGAATAAGAAGCCTATGCGCAAGAGAGTTTTCCTCTCTCCCATTTGTGAAAATTAAATACTGTTGGTTACCATCCTCCGCCCAGTCTTCAAAACTAGTATACTCAAACAAATGATTACTGTACCAGAGGAAGTTTTGTATGGCATTGATGAGAATGCACAATTTGATGTACTAAAAATGAACCCCAGCTCCACAAACATGCACATTAAACTTCTAGTCCTGATGGGTATCAAAAGCAGTGCTAACATGTAGGCAAAATCTACAGAAATTTTCCAACTGTGCTATCCTATGCATGTTTGTGTGTTCAACGGAGCTTACTCCAAGGTATGTATACAGAAGGGCATCTTGCACACCCATTTATTGTTTTCCATCCCCTTTTGCATCCAGTCTTCATGCTCTTCCATACTTTTCCTGTACTCCACCTGACAAACAAGGGCAAAGTATTGCAACATTTCCAGAGCACTGAGCCCTAGGGAGTGAAGGGAGCTTCATAAATACAGTGGACACTCGGGTTGCAAACGTGATCCGTGGGGGAGGCACATTCGCAACCCGCAGCATTCGTAACCCGCAGCGCTGCGTCTGCGCACATGTGGGTCGCGATTCAGCGCTTCTGCGCATGAGCAAACGCCAAAACCCGGAAGTAACCCGTTCCAGTACTTCTGGTTTTCGGCGCGTCTGTAACCCAAAAACGTGCAACATGAAGCGTCTGTAACCCGAGGTATGACACTATCATTTTATTCTTACACAATCCGTATCAAAGAAACAGCACACTCTATAGTCAGAATGTTTAAGAACCCACAGTAGACACTGACTTGATGACCATGCTGAGTAAGTATAAACTCATTTCTGCGTCTGAATGGCACACAGAAGGAGACAGAATTCAACTCAACTTTTAACACCAACTTTTTGTATATTTATTTAATTTATGCATATGTAGAGCAGATGGGGGGGTTGAGAGAGCAGGTACCAAGACACCGTTTAGGGGAAAGGTTCCTGCTTGCTCCTTTTCATAATGTGAACTAAATATCTGACCTAGAGCACTAGGAACAGGGCAAAACATCTATTATTATTATTATTATTATTATTATTATTATTATTAGAGCATAGATTTCAACTTCTCTAACACAGCTGGTAAAAGTAACAAGGGAGAGTTCAATAGTATAACTTCGCTTCTTAATTATAATGCATCTGTATTTTGTCAGTTGCTGTCATATTATTCATATTGCACTATTCTGATCCCTAATATAAAGTTTTCCCACTCCCACAACCCCAAGCCATTTTAAGGATTTCAGCAGTAAAATCTGAAAAGTCATAAAAAGTCAGCCTTTGAGCACTAAGACTCCATAGACTGGTTCTGTTTGAATGGTAACATTATGATGATACACTGTACTCTGTTAACAACTTAATTACGCCTAATAAAATAAATTACTGTGGAACCATCAAAGAGAAAACCAGAAGGATTCTGCAAAAATACCATTTACAATCTAGCTGCATAGAGCTTTCTAAAAAAAGACCTGTTACTTTCTGTAAGAGACGTTAGCAGGTGCCCAAGGCGTTCACATTTAAATAAATGGGTTTAAGTGTGCTTCACTTTGGTGGGATCGTACCCATGGCGTATTCTGCCACATATTCCACATCATGTCCTGCTCTTCTTCATTCCGTACAGTTTTCATCTGAAGACAGATCCTGGAAAACATAGGACCTTATGCCATGGGCAGAAAGCTGGAACATAATCCAGCCAAATGCATGCACTTTGAAGTCCCACATGGAAGCATGACATTTATCAATAGGATAAATGTATGGGACTTAAATGTGCCTCACCCCAGGACAGAATGAAAACTTTACAAGGAACACAGCAGGGCTGCAGCCAAAGCAGTAGCCTGGTGTCCATTTGCACATGTCCCCAACCTCTCGTACAATATGCACTGGAAGCAAGGAACTGCACAGCAAAATGATGCCAGCACATACAATAAGTTGCACCTGGCACCATAACTAGGTGCAGGTGGACTTCAACTCAGCCCCAATACTTTCTTGGCAGCCCCAGGTCCCACATCATGTTTCTCTCTGCCCTGTGGGTAGATTATCTTTGCATGTATGTTTTTAAAGCTTTGCTTTTGAAACTGTAGACATTATAAACAAACAAATGTTGGGTAAGATCTACCCACTAGTACTCTTTATTTTAATGGCCGCAGACTACTCCTGAACCATTAGGGCCCAACTGAATGCTTTGGTAAAGGTGTGGCAGAAGATTCTTTGCTTTCTGTCAGCGCCCTCGGCTGATGAACAAACACACTAAATCGAACGCCCTGGTTAGCTGCTGCCCTCACAAAGCCACTGTTTGCAGTCATGGTGATGGCCTTTAAAGCATCTCCTGTGCCAAAGATGGTCAGAGAACGGCTATTGATTTTGGAGCTGGGCACTAGTCTTAAGGCACGCTCAGAGGGCTGGTCTGGCACCACGTTGATTCTCTCCAGGAGTAACAAGGCTCGACTTTTCTCACCCGCCCCTCCCAAAGTCTCTAAAATGACTTGAAAGTCTTTGACTGCAGATTCACAAGCAAACAGCTCCTTGCCCTTCATGAAATCCTCCAGGAGTGGGAGAACACTCTCTTCCCTCTCCTGCACTGCCTGTTCTGTTAATACTTTCTCCTTGAAGATGAAGTAACAGCCTCCGTAGCTCAGGGCAGAGACGTATGTGATCAGAGTAGTAATATCCAAGTTAACCCTCTTGCACACGTCTACTCGGATCTCTGTAGGAAAAGCAACACTAGCTATTAAGTTGTCCCGATCTACTTTGGTCACCTGAAGTCCCTCCCCTCCTTCATCAGATTCGCCAGAGCTCAATGGGAGGTCTTCACTAGCACACTCCACCAATGCATTCACGGCAACAATGTCTCCCCGCACCGATATGCCCATCTGTTGCAGCCTCTGTGCCATTGGGCAGGACACACCGTTGTAGAAAGCAAAGATAATGTGCGGGTTACTGTACTGCACTGGTTGCTGGCCACTTGCTCGCAGGAAATCCTCTGCCTGCTCAATGATGCTTTTGTCACCATACTGGCCCCTGCCCAGCCAAATGTTGTGCAGGGCTTCAGCCTTTCGACCTATGGCTTTCACCCAGGTGTGGCCACCATTTGCAACAACGTCCACCACCAAGCTCTGTTTCTCCCCGAATTGGTCCTCATACGTGAAGACATGGACAACACTGACAACCTCCTCGAAGTTTTCAGCTGACTCAATGATGGCCTGCAGGTGAGTGAGATTGGTACTTTGCAGGTGAGACTCTTTGATGGCTACCTTGCCAGCCTCCACCTTGCGCAAGAACTTTAACTCGGCCTTTAGCTTGCTGCAGAGTTTTGATCCGCCTTCTATGCCTCCTTTCCGGAACCTGGAAAGGGCTTCTGCCCTCTTGATGAGCTCCTCTGCAATAGCAATCCTCTCGCACAGCAAGGCGTGTACAGACATGGTAACATTATTCCTGAGAAAAATACGAAGAAGATCACTGTTATTTCAAGCTGTAATATAAAGACATTTATGAAGACGTTTCTCAATCTAGGACAATGATTCCCTTTCAAAAACTGTTTTAAATAAGCAAAGCAAAAAGCAGAAGCTCAAAACGAAACAAAAAAAAAACACTTCCAAACTAAAACATGCTTTTCAATTAATTAAAAAATCATTAAAAAAATAAATCCAGGGAGAAACCTGAGATTATGGAACTATGACAAAGAATGTGAGAGATTTAGGGCTAAGTCACTTGTGAAAACAGGAGAGAAAAAGAGAAAACATGGTGGGATGGATTCTCTTATGGTAGCCACACTGTGGCTTCAGCCACACTGAATAATTGCTTCTACCTGGATAGCACAACTTCAACACACTTGGCTGCTTTAAAACTGTGTCCACCCTCATAAATCTAATTTACATAGGTGGTGGGGTGTTGGAGGGGGAGAGAAACAAGGCATTAATGCCACAAATTTCGTCACCCAGTTCCTCTCAATCCAATTGAATCCTTCTGTAATAAGTGAACTGAAGCCTAATTTCCTATCGAGTTTTGCCCTTGCTTTTAAAGCTTTTCTTCAAATACACTGGGAACTATATCCTTATTGATCTTGTTTTTAAAAAGAGGCAATCTAGCAGTATTTCACACAATAGTCACTGATTATCCCAAGCCCTTACACAGTAAGCTGCTTCAGACAGCTGCCATAATATCCTTCAATTGGGTGTGTGGGTTTTTTTAGTTACTGCCAGCTGCTGGGTTGATAGTAGGACAGCAATGCAAATACTTTTACATTTTGATCAAGGATAGGCAGCTAGGGATCCAGGGTACACATGGGAATTTCTCTTTGGCTCTGAGCATAGCTCCTGATCCCATCTGCTTCAGTGTCTACAGCAGGAGTTTGGCAAAGCCCTATACGGTCCCATTCCTACGCACAAGCCAAGCCAGAGGGAATTTGGGGTGAGAAGATAAGGGCCCAACAGGATACTTCTGGCAAAGCCTCCCTTGCTGCTCATGCTGGTTAGAAGAGACCTCCCCTCCCCCATCTCCCAGCTTGAATGGAAGTTGAGATCTTCCTCATACCTGCTTGCTTACTCAAGATCCTGGAGCCAGAGATGTCAGGAACTGAAATTAAGCCTGATCATTCTACAGTAGCAAACACACTGTCCGCACCAAGTTATGGTCTCTCCCCAAGAAAGAAGGCAGAATCTGCTACAGTTCCCTAGGTCACTCCAGGTTTTTGGGACTACAGCTCCCAACCAGCGCAGTCATGCAGGCTGGGGCAGACGGATGTTGCCATCCAAAATGCCAAGCAGAGTGTTTCTTAAACCTGGATCTCCATCCGTTCTTGGACTACAACTCTCATCATCCCTGACCCCTGGTCCCGCCAAGCTAGAGATGATGGAAGTTGTAGTTGCAACAATATCTGAGGACCCAAGGTTGAGAAACACTGATCTAGAGCAGGATTCTGGAGGGCCGAGGTTGAGGAGGCCTGATCTAGAGGGTACCAAACTGGGGAAAGATGATCCAGGTGGTATCAGAACTACCATTGCAGGGGACTAGATGACCCTCGGGGTCCCTTCCAACTCTACAATTCTATGATTCTAGTTAACAGTCAAACACAATGGGCTAATCCTGAGTCAGGTATTTTAGGAAGTTTCGGTATATTTTGTAGGTACTTTAAAAATACATCATAATAATTACAGCAACAATAACTAGTCAGGCAAGAATCATTAAACACAAAGAGAGATTTGGGAAACTGTTAGCTAAACAAATAAAGGAATCCATGAATCAACAAGAATGTAAAGTTATAGAAAAAATGGCACATTATACTTGCTGTAATGATAAAATCAGTAATGATACAGCAACATAGAACTGTTTCCCTTTAATTTTCTTCTTTATTTTCTGTAATTTATAATCAACCACCCTTTCTTTCTTTCTTTCTTTCTTTCTTTCTCTCCCTCCCTCTCCCTTACAATTCTAACTTCTTACAGTGGTACCTCGGGTTAAGAACTTAATTCGTTATGGAGGTCTGTTCTTAACCTGAAACTGTTCTTAACCTGAAGCACCACTTTAGCTAATGGGGCCTCCCGCTGCTGCTGTGCTGCTGCCACACGATTTCTGTTCTCATCCTGAAGCGAAGTTCTTAACCTAAGGTACTATTTCTGGGTTAGTGGAGTCTGTAACCTGAAGCGTATGTAACCTGAAGCGTCTGTAACCCGAGGTACCACTGTATTTTCAAAAATATGAAAGACTAAAATAAGCACAAGAAAGGCCATGCTGAAACAACTGTGCAATCTGAAAATGTTTATGTGGAAAGCGGAAGCAGTTTCTGAGCTTAAGAAAAGAGTCCAAATGGCATCAATATCATGTTGCAGAAGAAACCAAATATACGCTTGGGTCATGGTTAGGCAGCATTTGCTGAGCTTTTCCTTCCAAGCCAGATGCAAGACGTATAAAACAGGGATGGGGAACCTGTGGCCATGCAGGTTTTTCAGGACAATATTCCCAACATCCGACTGTTGGCTGAGCTGAGTGGGAGCTGGAGTCGAATCACATCTGGCAGGGAGCAGTTTCCCCATAAAGCAGAGGTGGAAGTTTTTATGCAATATCCTGGAGAACATTGGTTGGAGAAGCTATATGCCCAAGGGGGTGGTGCTAGAAACTCCAGGAGGCTGAACTGAAGCAATCCTGCATACCATAGGGTTGTTCACTCTCTTGAAATAAATAGGGTTTAGCACACAGAACTCCTACTGCCCCTGCTTTCCTAGAAAAGGGAAGAGGGGCCGGATGGGAGAGAATGAGATTTCAACAGGTCAGAGTGCAATTAGCTTAGGAAAGAGAGACAAAGGTGAGCTACAAATACAAAAAAGCACCAGGAGGCTTTTCTCCAGACTTTTGAATATTAAAAATACCTCTAGAGCAGCCCCAGGAGAAATTTCCCAGTGTCCTCACAATTCCAATCTCAAGCCTGGCTGAAAAACCTTACAGCACCCAGAATATGACTACTTTTGTTATGTTTGCAATTATGAAAATATTTTCATGCTGTGAGCTGCCTTGAGCATAGCTTTAGCTATGGAAAGATAGCATGCAAATGATGATGGTGATGGACTTTGGTTTGGGAGCAGCAGCAACTTATGGCGACTTTCACTCGTTTCCTGTGATGCAACAGAAAGCTGCTGTAATTTTAAACTCTTTTAGTACTTTAACTGTCATATGTTTTTAAAGTATAGTTGTGATCTTTTTTTCAAAACCGCTTTGAGCTTTTTAAAAAACAACAACAATCAAATGGTGTATAATTTTAAGAAACAAATGAAATAATAGTAAACAAACAGCAAGCACTTTCCTTGGTCTGTAGGACTTTCTGGTCTTGCAAACATAATGTTCCAAGATCCAAGTGATTTCTTCCCATCTGCAGACACAACATAATCCTGTATCCCCTCCTCCCACTTTTGAAAGCCCTGGGAGACTAACGTGTCATTTGGAAGCAAGCTCCGACATGTTTTTGAATTTTTATTATTATATATTTATTTATGCCCCGTCTTTCAACCCTGACAGGGCTTAGCGTAAACACAGCTAAAAACATAGAAAACTAAGGAGGGGAATCGTTTTTAAAAGACAATTAAACATGGATAGAATTAAACAGATACACACACATTAAAAATCTATTAAACCTGTACAATAGTCACATTTTCTCTTTTACTCCTTTCCTCCCTCCATACTAAAATAGAGCAACGATTTATATCCTTTCAAATGTGTTTGTGGAAGGGGGAATCATTGGTTTGTTTTCGTTCTTCTTATGTATCTGGTCTTCTCCTTTTGTATTTTTCTGTTGTGGAAAATACGAAATGTTTACCCCCCGCCCACAGCCCTCGCCCGAGGAGCTGCCCCTCCGCCCCGGACCCGCCGCCGCCCTCCTGCCTCCTGCAAGACTTACCACCAACTCGCCCCGCCGTCCCCGCAGCTGCAGCTCCAGCCCGGCGCCGGCTGCAAGCGACTTCCGCCTCCATACCATAGAGAGCGGGGGGAGACGGGCTCCTTCAGAGCCTCGCAAGAGGGAGGAAGGAAGGAAGCAGGAGCAGAAGCCGGCACTGGGCCCAGCCCTCACTTCCGGTTCCCGTTCGGCGCCTCCATGTGCGGGGCAAGGGGGACGGGTCAACTTTTTCCTGTATTTATTAGATTACATTTTATTATTTATTCTATATTAATTATAGTATTGCTTTATAATTGCATTTCGTTATTTATAATTTTAAATGTTAGATTATAATATTAAATTTTCAAGTAATTTGTATTAGTATAATAGTGTATATTTAATTACGTTATAATTAGTGTCACAGAATCATAGAACTGTAGAGTTGTAAGGGGCCACAAGGGTCATCTAGTCTAACCCCCTGCAGTGCAAGAATCTTTTGCGCAATGTGAGACTCGAGCCCATGATCCGGAGATTTAAGAGTTTCATGCTCTTACCAACTGAGCTATCCTATATCAAATTATTATTAAATTGTAATTATTGTATGATATAGTATATTTTGATTGATTGCATTTAATATATACTACCTTTTTCTCTCCCAAGGATTGTGTGGGGGATGGTGCACATCAGGGGTGCCCAAACGTTTTTCAAAGGGGGCCAGATTTGATGAAGTGAGCATGCGTGAGGGCCGACCAAGGTAGTTGAGCTATTTTTAGGATTTTGCTCCAGGATATATAGTGTCAAGGGAGGCGGATTAGGCCCCTGAAACAGACTTTGGACATGCCTGGTGTACATGGTTCTCCTCCTTTAATCCCCCCACATAACCCTGTGAGGTAGGTTAGGTTGAGAAGCAATGATTGGCCCAAGCCAAGGTCATTGAATTGGAAGGGCTCCCAAGGGTCATCTAGTGCAACCCATTTTGAAATCAATTCAGGACTTCTGCCACAGAATTTAGGAAGCTGTCATATATGGAGTCAGACCATTAAGTCCAACTAGCTCAGTACTGTCTACACTGACTGGCAGCAGCAGTGGCTCTTCAGGGTTTCAGGAAGGGAGTCTCTCCCAGCCCTACCTGAAGATGCCAGAAGGGATTGCAAGGTAAACACGACCACAGAGCTATGCGGCCCCTCCCTTGGAAAGTTGTTTTTTTCTGTTGAAACTGAATGGTGTTTCTTTAAACTAACAAGTGAGTTGTGTTTGATGAGAATTGTGTGCAGAGCACATCAGTTTTCCTGGAGCCTTTTAGGCGTTTTGGACAACCACAACTCCTATCACAGCTGATAGGACCAGTTAGTGCATTAGGTTTGATGTATCTATATAGGGTTGCCATACATCTGGATTTTCCTGGACATTTGACTGATTTCTGCCTGGGCACTGCTTCCAACTGCAGTATTCCGTGTATGTCTAAGAAGTTTGGGATGTATGGCAACCCATGTTGACCGTCATTTTTGCCGACTTTCCTGAAAATAGCTCCAAAACGTCTTTTTTGCAATTTTGCTAAAGAAAGCTCAGCAACTTTGGTCAAAACTATTGTGTCTGGATTTTCACTTTTTGAAATATGGCATCCCTATCTATCAAGAAAGTTCTAAGGGGAAGTTCCCAGGGTGGAAATGCAGTGCTATGCTGTTGTGCGTTAATTCTAATCCTGCATTTTAAAATCTAAGCAAGAAATTCAGAAAACAAAGCTACGGCATTCCTTTGTATTGAATTTCTGATTGTTGTGAGACATTTTTCTGTGAGAATAAATCATCTTTGTCAACCTTACATACTTTTTTGGCAGAGGTTATAGCACTGGATTAAAAGGGAACCTTTAACCTTGTGCACTTGTGCATCTCTACAGCTCACAACAGTGTTTTTTGCAGACTACAATCAGCACCTGGAATTCTTACTAGAGAAGAATTTTGACTAAAGTTCAACATACCATCTCAGTTGGTCAGACAAACCTATTTTTGTTCGTGTTTAGATTTTATCATATTTCCAAGTACACCATATCACCACCCTGTGGACAAAGTTTCCAAGCAAATATATCCACTAAATTGTTCTATGCCTTTCCAATCAATGTTTTTCCCTGTGGCTCAAACATTCTATTTACATGGTATCAGATTTTTTTGATTTTTTTTTTTAGTTTTTGGAAATTCAGTGGCACATACCATTTACCCAAGGGGTCAGACTGTATCAGTGTGTACTTTACTTGTTACCCCAACACTCAAGTATCAGTCAGAATGCCTGAAAATACCCCACTGAACATAAGAGGGAGAGTAGTGTTGTGTGCATGTCTTGCGTGTGGGTTTCCCAAGCCTTTATGATTGGCCATTGTAGGAACAGAATACTGTAAAGTAAATAGGGCTAGGTTTTTGGTCTGATCCAACAGAACTCTTAAATGCTTATGACTCAGCTAAATTAAAAACAAACACGCACAGAAAAAAGTTTGACTGCATTCAGTGATGTTAACGTTTTTCTCAATTACTCTATGGTGCCTCTTCACATTACAGTCAATGAATGATCAATGTGCATGGATGAGGGAGCAACGTCTTACTCATTTATCACATCGCATACTCTTTTCTCAAACAAGCCATACATGTGGTTATCCACAGCAATCCTTCAGGTTAAATTAGGATGACTGACCCAAAGTCACCTATGGAGCTTTACAGCTGAATTGTAAACTCAAGTGGAAGGTTCCTTGGTCCAAATGGGGCAGTCCCCCAGGGGGTGAAGGACAAATCACAATGTGAGACCAGTTACCTTAACACCCCCCTCAGACCACCTCTGCCACCCTTCCTCCTCCTGTCCTCACCCAGCTTACTTTTTGTTGTTGCTGTTATCCTGCCACTTTACCACCAGCTTCTCCATCTGTAAAAACTTTGAACATGAGCTTTCATATATCTTGAAAACTCACTTTGTCCTTCAATGAGTTCGTCCAATAAAGGTTGCATTTCCTATATATTTCTTGCCCTATGGGATCACTGTGACAGTGGGGGCAAACACTGCACCTTCTCACTTACACCAGGGAGGGAGGTAGTGAATCTGCCACATGAGTGGAAGACAGATCTCTAACACACGTGGTACCAAGACTGCTTTCTGTTCTGACTTGTAGCAGCTTGCCAACTAAAGTCTTTCAGTATTACATGCTGAATGCATATCATCGGATTTGATTCACAGCCCCTTTGATTTAACTGCTCCCATAGAGGCCTGCATAATATCTCACTCAAGACATACATTTAGAAAGCTTTTAACAGAAGCTCTGCAAGTTCAGCTGAGGGTAGTTCCAAAGGATTTATGAATATTTTAAAACTGTGTGCTTCTGAATAAAATTTGTGCTGGTGGTGAAACCAGAAGGAACTCAGTATAATTAAATGCCTTATTAAGTTTTACCTAGAAATCACACCACTCCTGGTATGTTTATTTTTTCATATTGCGTATTCTTGTACAGTGTTTAATATTTTAAAGAACAATAATTCCACATTTTCAATATTAGGACAGTAGTATTTGGATCCATAATATTTCTTTTTTAAAAAATCTAGCAGATAAAGTAGAAATGAGAGTGCAGAAGCCAAATATTTAAATGGCTGGGAAAAAAGATCCTTGTATGTATCGAGGCAGTCTTCCTTAACGAATACTAGGCAATTGCAGCCAGGTAATCCTTGACCTCAGTTGGAGTGAGTCTTCTAAATCCTGCCTCATTACAGATGCCAACCTCTATGTTATCTTCTGTCATTTGTCCTTCAAAGCTTTCCTAGAGAGAGGGAAAGACAGGTTCCTTCATGAAAATGCAATTCACAAACTAGAGTTTTAACAAATACACTGCAGATGTTTCTTACCTTCAGTGTCAATATAGCAGTATGAATAGCATCTTCAAGCTCCAAGTCTTCGTTGTACCTATGAAAGAACAGAAGTTTGCTAATAAATATATTTTACTGTTGCTGCAACAGCAAACATTCACAGAACTGAAAATTAGTTTCACATGGCCAAGGGCTGCATTTTGCAAATAACTTCCTATGCAGCATTGCAAATACCATTAAACACAGGAATCTCAAATCATTTGGGGATATGGCAGGACAGTAGAGTGTACTCAAAAAACACGCATTGGGCACACACAAACTATTTAGACGCACTTAAAGGGTATTAGGATACCAACCAATAGATTTAGACAAAATATTGCAATTTACAGTAGAAGTTACACCAGTTTATTAGACACACAAGGTATCAGTACCTTCCAGAAGTAAAACCCTCAGAAGCCTTAGTCACCTTTGGTCTTATTAGATGATAAACATTGAAGACCATGAGGAAATGTCATCAAATAGTACCCACACAACTGGTTTATTGGTTTACTTAAGTGTAGAAACTGTATTGCATTCTCTCTTCTCCAACTTAGCATGAGTCTTGCAAGTCTGAATATTAACAGAACGTTGTATTTCAGCCAGTACAGTGGTTCCCAACCTTTTTTTTGGCCATGCCCCACCTAAGCATCTCCAAAATCCTGATGCCCCCCACCCGTGACATATAATTCTTATTATTAAGAAAGTGAAAAGGCCATTAATTGTTAATAACCCATTCTCGAATTGTCCCCCTTAAAAAAATCAAATCAAATTGCCCCCCTGGGAGACCAGTGCTCCTCTGGACGTTAGCAGCACTGAAGTGACCTCCCCGGGGCATAAGCCTGGGCAGTGTGTATGGAGGACCTGAGCTGCCAGACGACAAGACCTTCTCCCTCTCGGCCTCGCTGATGTGGTCCAAAGAAAAACAGCAATACATCTGGCATCAGCTTAGCTGCGGGAGTTGCCAGAAGGCAGCGTACAAGGCAACATCCAACTGTCTTTTCTTCCCCTGAAGATATTCCGCAAGGCAGCATGGAGGTTTAGGATCAGTTTTCCTACTCCTAGATGGGCTATCTTCCCAGGCTGACGAGCCCCATCTGCCCCAAAGTAAGGGAGCTTTTTATGTATTTCTATGTACACAAATTCTATGTTAATTAGCGTGCATCCAAGTGGATGTTCTGAGGCCTCAAAGAGCTGGCCCTGATCCCCATGAATTACAGGATGTTTCAGTTACAGCAGAATCTTGCTGACAAGCCATGAGTCATGCACATTATAAATGAGGCTCTGAAGGAAACTGTGGAATCCACAGGATATGGCCACTACCAATGCTTTCACCACTGCTGAAGATGATGTGATTACTGATCCTGGGATGGAAGAGAGTCGAGAGCCAAGGATGGCCAACTCTCCCTTACGGATGGGACTCAAAACCTCCATGCTCCAAGCTGTACTCTAGGGAAAGGTTAATTGGTAACTTCTCATCAAGCTGTTAAATGGGATCACCATACCTACACAAGCTTCTCCTAACGAAAGCAAATTGTCATTTTTGTCTCATTTTCACAGGTGTTTCTAGCATTCTTAGTCGTTTTTAAACTATAGCACTTCAACACCTAGGAAAGAGCCAGTCTAGACACGGAAAACAACACATCATTACAGTACATATAAACTTCTACTATCTTCATATTTTATTACTGATTTGCAGTTATGTAATCATAACATTACCTCTTTTCAAGGAATGTCTTTCCATTTACATAGTTTTTCCCCATTGCAGTTGCTTTCCACGCAAAATAAGCACCCTGGAAAAGTGAGAAAGACAGGGAGTAAATTTATGAGAACACATTATCTTCTAGTCACTGATCAATACAGTAAAAAATTAGCCTCATTTAGGGATCTCTGCTTGGAGAGATGTTGGAAATAGGATTCTGGACAGGAGAGATGTTTTGCCTAATCCACCAAGGCTCTCTTTATGCTCTTACAACTGTAAAACTGATCACCCAAGATGTCCTGAGAGTCTGTAACCTTATTCTAGTCCAGATGCTTATCATTCCCCACCCACTTATCTGGATTAATTAAAAAAACATACACAGAAAGAATATGGCAATATTCCAGATCTTTGAGTAAACATCCATGCTTTCTATTTAAGGCTATTAAGAAGCTCCATTATGAATACTTACAGATGGATCAGACTGGAATAAGTATGGTCGTCCCTCATTCCACCCACATATTAGCAATGATACACCAAACGGGCGTACACCCCTACGAAGCAAAACATTTGAAAAGGATTAATGATAACAGAAGGTTATCTTGGGAACAAATAAGATCAGCATTAAGGATGCTGACTGACGGACTCATCTATGAACACACATACAAGCATACTCCTCTTCTATATATTCTAAAGGAGTTACATCATGCCTCGTACAAATAGTTTGTACACTTTGTTTCTGAGTCTTTATGGCTGCCAACTGTTTTCTTGGCTCTGTTTCTATGCCTTAACCAGCAACCTTCCATACAGAAATTAAGCAGCTCAATATTTTGCTGGCTATGAGACAGATGGGAAGAGATCGTCATCTTTATTTTGAACCCCACTTTCCCCTATGAAAAAGGGAGTCCAAAGCAGCTAACATCATACAGAAACAAACACAAGACTTCAAAAAACAATATAAAAAATGCTACATTAAAGCTATAAACTTTTTATTCAATACTGAAGAAAACAGTTAAATACAAAACTCATAGATATTTCAGGAGAGAAAATACAAGGAAGGAAAGACCACCCCATTGCTTAATTTTAGCAAGTCAAACAACTGTTCCAATGTACAAGAACAGGTCCAGGAAATTACTGGCAACTCTACTTTTCCTACTTAGAAAACTGTAAAAAAATATACAAAAACGACTTTAGCACAGAAAAGCATTTAAGGCATAACAGTAACTGTATTTCCTGCTCTTCATTCTCCTTTGCATAAATAGCTTCCAGGCTTATAGGTAATCAGTTTGAGAGTGTGGTATTGCTGTTCAGCACACTTAAAAGTATCAGACCAAATGCTCTTCAAAAGTGAATGCAGTGATACCTCGGGTTAAAGTAGCTTCAGGTTGAGCGTTTTTAGGTTGCGTTCCGCAGCGACCTGGAAGTAACGGAACGGATTACTTCCGGGTTTCGCCACTCGCGCATGCAGGCGCTCAAAATGACATCACGCGCATGCGCAGAAGCAGCGAATCGTGACCTATGCACACGCAGGTTGTGTTCTGCTCAGGATGCAAACGGGGCTCCGGAACAGATCCCATTCGCATCCAGAGGTACCACTGTAGAAGAACAGGAGGAGAGTTTATGAGGCTGGCCATGGCATGCAGACAAGGCTGAGCTCTTGTCTGTATGTACCCAGTCTGATTTGCAGCTCCTCAGATGGAGAGGCAAAAATCTCACTGATATATGGTAAAAGTGTGAGGGGGCTGCATTACGAGTACAGTCTATTCTGCATACAGTACAGCTCTTAGTAAATTTCAGTTGTTTTAGAATAAACAAGGGGCAGGGGGAAGGCATACCCAGATTGTGTGTATTCTTGCATTACAGAAGCAATTCTCTGCACTAGCTGAGCTGTTGGAATAGGTTCATGGTAAACCAAGTAGTACTGCTGGGCCAGTTTGCGTGCTCTGTGGACAAGTACTCTGAGAAAAAGAAGAAAAGAAATAGTGAGTGAGCGAAGAAATCAGAACATCCATTATAACTTAAAAGTCCAAAGCAACTTGGGAAAGATTAAACTGAAGGAATATTTACTATCAGCTAATGAAAGAATTTGATACTGCACTGGGATATATCAACTCAAAAAAGGTTGCCTATTATTGTGAGGTTACTAATGTGCTACAGCGGCCAGACCATTTCTGTCCAAGAAAGGGAGTGGTTAGCATACCAGCCAAAGTTGGTAACAGATGCACCACACTAGAGGACACCTGGGCCTCTAGTATAGAAGATGATTCAATGAACACCCTTAAAATATGGACCTGTTTCTTTAGGTGAAGCACAACTCCATTCAGAACAATCTCTCAAAATCTGGATCCAGGAACCTTTCACCCATAGCCTGTCTTATCATGATTCAATGTGTTTGTTTGCCCTCATCCAGTCAATCAGCTCCCATCATCCCTGACCACTGGCTATAGTAGCTGGAGCTTATGGGAGTTGGGAGACAAAAAACATCTGGAAGGCCCAATGTTCCCTATCCCTGCAATAACGTATGAGCAATGTCTCTCAGCTCTGTAATATTGTGGGATGTGGTAGCTCAAGATTCTCCAAATATGATTAAAAACCAAACGCTGGCCCATTAATTTGTATCATGAGCAAAGCTGGCTGTCAGACACTCCTAACAGTGCTAGCCCCACCCTCAAAGAGCCACACATTAGACAGACACATCTGCAACAAAAAAAAACTTATGCAAGTAGACTTGCAGCAGGGGTTGCCAACACGGTTCCAATGGGTGCCATAACTTAGGACCACTAGGTGGGGGCCCTAGACTTTGCACTTTCATTAAAAAAAGAAAAGAAAAGCCTCTAGCCCTACTAAAGAGAATTTTATCAAGCAAAATGTACAGTTACCCTCCCAAGTGATTTCTGTGAAATTAGCCAGCCTGGCTACTCCTGCCTGTTGCTTTTTTCAGTCAAACAGTGAAGTGACTGATAAGTCTGGATGACAGGCAACAGAAATTTCTTGGGTCCTAAGGAGGTCCTGCTTTATCCTACCCTTTCACACACTTTTCCTCCTCCTTATTTTCTAGTCTTTAAAATCTCTGTAGCTCACTTTTCCTTTTTTCCTAGTAACCAGGATGCATCTTTTCTGTGATGGGTTTTCTGAGATCAGGTACTGCCTAGAAATTATTTTCTGTAAACAGTACTATATAATAAGTGTGGGTGGATATTAAAAATCCACCCCCAACCTGAAAAGGCAAATGTAAAACTTTGCAAACAGGCATATGGGTGACTCCTGCTGTGCAGGAACCAAAGACTAGGCACTTATTAAGAGTTCATGGTATAGTTAATCTGCAGTGCAATGGTATACGTGTCTATGCATAAGTATGTCTCTTTGTCTTTAATGGGTCTTACTTCTAGGTAAGTGAGTACAGAATGGCAAACTAGGCTTTAGTTTAGCATTGGCACTGGGGAAAACAAAGGGTTGTGTCTTTAACAGCTGTATGGTAGTTTAAGCTTTTCCTAATATGGAAATACAATTATTGGAAAAGCTTCACCATGGGTGTACTCTCCAATTTTGTGTGTGTCATGCCTCCCATAGCAGCCACTTTGTGGCTGGCACCCACAGAACTCTCTCAAAATTCAAAATATGCCATGGCCCAAAAAGGTTGGTGACTCCTGCCTTGCATACATGTCAGGGTGAAGCCTTGTGCAACCTTGGGGACAGGACCAGAGCTGCACCCCATTGTACATGTGTCTCCACTTCTCATTATGCACACATGAAGAGGGTCAAGATATGTATCATCCATCCAGAGAATGTTGAAATGGCACCACAGACCCAATGCTGTGCTGCCTATAGCGGGGCAAGAGTCAAAGACCAATAGCAAGAGTCTATTACAGTGTTTCCCTCCTTGCCTTCAAGATACCTGTAATCAGGACCCATGCCACTATACACCAAGCCTATGTGTTTGGTTATGGATTCCACTTTGTGTACACTTCGTTCATCATACAGAATGGATTTCTGCTTTTTTTCTGTTGCCAGTACCACGCCATTTGAAGCTGCACAAAGAAAACAAATATTTTAGTCAATGTAGTTAAAATATCTTCCTTCCATTTTCCTCGTAATCTTTCAAATCCACAATGCTTAAAGCAGGCAACTAGAATAATTCATCTACTTGTATATCCTTTACTAATCGTATCACATAAATCCAATGCATTATTTGGCACTATTACTAAGGATGCCTACCCACCAGATGATTTGGTTCAAACCCCAAATTGGCATTGCATAATAAAACAGGCCAATTCGACTCAGATGAATTTGGAGGCAGCTCGATTCAACTCAGAGGTCTCTGTGATGGACACCTTTCAAGTTTGATTAAAAAAACAAAACAAATAACATCAAACATCAAACCATACTAATATTTGGGTAGAACTGGATGAAATCTTAAGAAACATTGCCCCTTCTAAAGGAATGAATCCTGCCAAATTTCAGAAGGATATATGCAGTTTTGTTCCTGCAGCTGTTAAGTGATTCCCACTATATCTCCCCCAACCAAAGTTCCTTTAAAGTTAATTTTTGGGTAGAAATAATCAGATGATATTTTCTTTATGAATAAAATAATTCCCTCCAATTACAAACTAAAGTTGTTGGATGTGAAAGAGCCCCCCCCTCCTCAAAAAAAAACCCCTCTGACCATTCCCTCAAGTTAGTGATGCAAGTTTCTGGTTTGCAAAGCTGCTCTCATTTCCTCCCTTCCACCCATACTGAGGTATCACAAATCACTTCAGGGTTCATTGTACAGTACAAGGCTGCATGGGTTGAAGCAGATCTCACTTTGCTTTGGGAGAAACTCAAAATCCTCCCAAGACAGCCAAATCCAATAAACACCCCTAATGGTTATGTGTTACCTCAATATCACTAGACATGCCTACTTAAAAAAAAAAAGAAAAAGTTCAATAAAAAAATGGAAAAGAAGCTTTTCAAACTTTCCACCTTCAAAGACCTCATTCCACATTATCTGCTGAGGAATCTTAGCAGCTCTGCCTCACAACAAATGTGGAGGATTGTGTGAAGTGCACCCTGGCTAGGCCTGTCCGGCCTCATAGTGGCCCAATGCAAACTGACTGCACCTTACAACACACCATAGAATATGCCCAGAACTCTCCTATGGGGTGCACTGCTGAGGAAAATTAGTAGTGGCAGAGAAGCTATATCATAAGGAAGCTTGCCTTATGATTTTTTGCCTTACTGATTTTTTCATTAGGAAACCTGCAATGAAAACATGTAAGGAACCCAAGGTTTCCCAAAATGCAATCTGAAAATTATAGTTATACTTTCTGTTTTGAAAATATATTTAGATTCTACTTTTTGAAGATGTTTCATAGCCCCACTAAGAATCCCTATATCTAGCTTGGTTAAACATTGACAAGAGAGCTTTTCCTCCCAAGGGCCCCAAGTGGCACGCACTGGGTTTGAATTCAATTCTTAAACTCAAAAACTGGCCAGGAAGAGGTTTGTTTTGTTTCAAAACCAAACCACGCATTATCTGTATTTTAACATCAGGATGCTGAATTGCTACAAAGCTAGGGTGGTAATGGGAATCAAGACTTACATGTGCATTATTAGATGGCCAAAAGGGGAAAATGAATATTTCCACAATCATCCCCTCCTCCCTGGCCCACAACAACTTACTCTGTAGTTCTTACTCTGGAAGGGTTATGGTTGGAACCCCACTGGGACTAAAACGTAATTTAAAAGCTCTGGGGGTACTAGGATGGGTTCATGTCCCCACCATCCCCATCCCTTTATTTAATATTTTATATAGTCATACTTCGGGTTACAAACGCTGCAGGTTGTGCATTTTCAGGTTGCGGACAGCGCTAAACCCGGAAGTACAGGAACGGGTTACTTCCAGGTTTTGGTGCTTGCGCATGCGCAAAATGATGTCACGTGCATGCGCAAAAGCTGCACTTCAGGCTGCGAATGCTGTGGGTTGTGAACGTGCCTCCCGCACAGATCACGTTCGCAACCCAAGGTATGACTGTTGTTTATTAAATTTGTATCATACCTCTCCACTAAATGGTGCTCAAGGCAGCTAGCAATAATACAATACATGCTGCTAGACTATAACTCCCACCAGTCCTAGCCAGCATGGTCAATGATTATGGAAGTTGCAATCCAACAGCATCTGGAGGGTCACAGGTTCCCTAACCTCTGAGCTCAAGGGAGCTTATTTCTGAGTAGACATGTATAGGTTTGTACTGTTGGTACGACCAAAATAAGGTCAAGCCAGGTTACTGCTTTCACGCTGATTCTTTTCAGATCAATTTCTGGCAATCATACTACACCACAATCCTAATAAAGTCTACTCAGAATTAGGTGGTGTTGAACTCTATGAGGCTTACTCTCAAGCAAATGGGGCTAGGACTTCAGCCTCAATACCCATAATCTATGTCTGCTTTCTCGTTTTTTCTTTGCATTTAGGTCACAAAATGCCAAAGTAGGTACACACAGACATACAAACTAGCAACATTTCTGTGGGCTTATTAATCGTGCAAGCATTTGAATACCTTTAATTCCAACTGATGGGGCTCCTGCGGCAACAGCTGCCAAAGCATATTCAATCTGAACAAGCTTTCCAGAAGGGCTAAAAGAAAGCAAACAATTCATGAGACACCTTGGTAAGAAAACATTTTCAAATCTGAAAATGCCAAGCAACTTATGGCCTTTCATTGGCCCTTTTTTCACCAATATGATATTGGGCACATTTTAATATAGTAATAATAAAAAACAAACAGATAGGAGTCAGCCCCAGTCAATTTAGTGGGACTTACTTTAGTATAAGAGTGTTTAGAATTGTACTACACTTTTCATGTAATCATGCACTCATGTCAAGGTCTGGCAACAAGCTCAAAGTAATCTCATAATAAAAACTGAAAAGGGGAAAAGAAAGCCCACCAAAATAGTTTTACTTTCGTTTTTGGTGTAACATTTGTTTCATGTTCATAGTCCTCAACACACTGAATGCAATGTCATTTATTTCCAAGTAAACATGCATTTGTAAGGCTGCAATCCTATGGAAACTAATTTGGGATTAAGTCCAAATCCCATTCAATTGAATAGGTCTTACTTCCAAGGCGACACTATGATATGATTTATTATTTTCATAAAATCTCAACGCCGTGTGTTCAGAGATATTTGTTTCACTTTCTATAGGGTTATAAGGGAAATGAGGCCTGCTTTGGGCTCTTGCCTTAACCAAGCCATGCGGAGGGAGAGTCAATCCGTGGCTTAAAACCCTGCATACTGGATCCAAAGGCTCATCTCTGCATGGTTTAGCAGTGTTAGAAATCCCGATATATAAACTAGGTGCCAAATGCCTCCTTAAACCAGGGTTACAGTCACCAAAATGGAAGGTCTAGTTGGCATTCGGGGGGGCAGACGGCTCGAAAGTTTTATTTATCAATAAAGGCTTTTGTTTCCTGAAATTCATTCTGACTGTGCAGATAAAATATAAGTGACAGAATTCTACAAGGTGTGGCATTAATGTGTGAAAACAGTCCAGATCCAATGATCCCCAGGTATGCGCCTCCGGAGACCTCGGGTGCCATCCTGACACCTTCACTCGGTCCCAAGCGCCAACAGGCAGGTGCAAAGGGCTCAGGACCAGGCAGGCTGCTGGAAAACCCGCGTTCCCTCAAGCATGTCTGGTGGGGAGGCGGGATCCGCGCGAGAAACCTGCGGCACTTTCCACACGCGCCACTTTCTTCTCCGAGCGAGAGGCGAGAAGCGCCAGCGGTGACTCCGCAAAAACCTCGGCTCTCCCTCCGTCTCAACGGCAACGAGACGGAGCCCCTCCAGAGGCCCCAGAATCCCCCCCCCTCATTAAAGGACAGCGCCCCGGGCCTCCTGCGCCCGCCCCGCCGCCCCTGAGGGAACACCGCGCCTTACCTGAAAGTGGTGAGGGAGAAGCTGTAGCCGCGTTCCGCCATTTTGACCAGCGCGATTCAACCCCTCGCCCCGCCCTCCCTTCCTAACCGTCTCCGCCCACTTTCTGAGGCTGCGCACGCGCGCTGCGTATTGTTTTACAGCGCATGCGCAAAAAGAGAAAACATGTAGAGCGCCGACCACGGAACCATGAACAGATTGAACTTCCGGGAACTCTCGAAAGCCGCGAAACTCTATGGCAGCCTTTCTCAACCTTGGGTCGTTCGTACCCGCCATCAAACGTTGTTGGACTACAACTCCCGTCATCCCTTGCTAACAGAATTGGTTCCCTCTGCTATGCATGCCGGGAACCGGCGCCTCACCCGCCGGAGCTAGAGGAGGGCCTGCTGGGACATGTAGTCCAGCTCTCTCGCCAAGTGGCTTGGCGGAAACGCCGCCAAAGAGAAAGACGACTCGGTTTCCCAGCGCCCTCAGCGCGGCTGATCCTGACAGGCGCGTTTTCGCGCCGCGAAGGCGGAGGGCCGGTCAAGATGGCGGCTGCCGCGCTGCTGCTGGTCTTCCCGTCTCCTTTGCCTCGGATCCAAGGCTTCCTCCGAAGCTGCTGGTCCCAGCTGGGCTGCCGCAGCCCGCCCGGGGGTAGGTCCTGGCTCCGTCTCCTCGAGGTGTCGCGGGGCCTCCTCCGGGGCGGCTCTCCGGGGGCTTTGCCTCCCAAACTTGGCTTTCCAGCTCCCGTCAGCTGGAAACCCAGGTGCCCTTTTAGGACAAGCGCCGCTGGAGACGCCGCTTTACTTGGGGCGGGAAGGATTTGCACTGTTCTGTTCTTGCTTTCATTTTTATGCTGGTGGGAACTGCCCCGAATGTTTGTTTGTTTGTTTTTTGCAGAGGGGGCTGGATTCTGAAAACTATTTATTTATAAGATTTGTTACCCACCCATCACCCGTGTTATTTACTGTATTGGCCAGAATATAAGCCGCACCTTTAAAATTGGAGGGGGGAAAGGAAAAATACTCGCATATAAGCTGCTCCATTCCTTGCTGCTGCTGGCTGCATGCTGGCCGGGGAGTGGGGAGCTGCGCTGCGTTGCTGGCGGCCTTTCCCCTTCCTCGCTCTCTCCACGTGCCAGGTGGGCACCGCTTTGCCCGCTCCTGGCTGCATACCGGAAGGTCGCGAAGATAAGCCACACGTTAACTTTTCATAGTCGGAATTTGGGGGGTAAAGAGGCTTATATTCAGGCCAATATGGTATTCTACTTACATATTTTGTAAAAATTATGTGCCGTTTGAATATATATATATATATATATATATATACCACAAAGTGTGTATATATATATATATATATATATATACACACACACACACACACACACCAAAAAGTGGTTTACAAAAAGATAAAACAGCAAAATCGAGGAAAAATTCACAAACCTACTTTGAAGCATGATGGTTATGGAAACAGAATATGCAATTACTAACATAACTTGAACCACTACAGTTGTTACTGTCAGTTATCTATTGTTACTAGTTAGATTTGTTATTCGCTTTATCTTGCTCATGGCAGACCAGAGCAACTGGAGAGAGGCGGTCCTGGAATTATTGCAGTACAGTTGTACCTTGTTTTGCGGCTGGGATCCGTTCCGGAGCCCTGGCCGCTAGCCAAAGCGCCAAAGGGCAAAGCGCCGCATCTGCGTGTGCAGAACAATTTGTGCTTCTGCGCATGTGTGAAGTGCGATTTAGCACTTCTGCGCATGCTCGAGCGACAAACCTGGAAGTAAGAGTCTCATTGAGCAAAACCACTTCATGAAATATTGTATCTAATTAATAAAGGTAAGCAAATTACCACAACTAAATTATTTGTAACTAAGTTATTTGTATTTGTCTTTAAGCTCCTGCTTTAGCAATTCAGGGTCCAGCTTTTTTGCCTGAACCTATAGAAGAGAATGCTGAAAGTAAGGAGACTCCAAGCTTTCTCGACAGCATATTTTGGATGGCAGCCCCAAAATCAAGGCGGACCATTGAAGTAAATCGCTGCAGGCGAAGGAATCCTAGGAACCTTATAAAAATAAAGGTAACTCATCACATTTCTGTTGTCTTTCTTTATTTTTGTAGATTTTCTATTCTTCAATGCTCTCAAGATGCTTGTAATTTCTTATTTATTCACATTGGTATTGCAAATTTACCACAGGAAATTTTTCATTTAAAATCTGTCTGCAGCTCCTGTGCTGAATCTTTAAAATGTGATGGTATTGCATTTTGAAAACTTAAACCTTTATGTATACTACTTGACATGAGGAATTTCTCAGGTTGCTGGAAAACAATGTAGTATATCACAATGGTAATGAGATAGTCATTGCCCTACATGGCTCTTAGCATTTGTGAAATCTCTCTTTTTAAATTGTTCATTGCCCAACGTTTTGTTTTCTTTCTTGTCTTTAGCGAAACATTGACGTCTGTCCTCAGTGTGGTAACCTGAAACTGAAGCATATTCTTTGTGGCTATTGTTATGCAAAGGTTAAACGGGAGACAGTTGCCATAAGGAAAGAAATATGGGCACAGGAGGGAGGACCACATAAGGCTCCACCGGTAGAGACTGTTGTACTGTATGAGGGAGAGAAAGCTAGAGATGAAGATGAAGGCAAGCGGATCATAGAACGAACAAGGAAGCGCCCATCTTGGTTCACACAGGACTGATTATGTAGCACAGTGGAATCTTTGGTCGCAAAATCCTTGATCTCGCAGAGTAAAAATAGCTGAAAAAATTGCTACTGATGACACTTATCCCTAGAAAGGGTAAATTTAAATTGTATTTTTTAATTTGCCATTGTAGTACAGCATCACTGCTGTACTTTAAATGTTAGCTGGATGGCTAATTTAGCTAATGTAAACTTAGCTGATCTTGTCATTGTATTAAAGTTGGTTAAGCAAAGTCAATCATTTGCAGGAGCAGATTCTTACGGCATCTATTTGGTCATATTACACTGTACTGTGCATTGGGGGGAAACCATGGATTTAAACTGTATTTGTAAATGAAATAAAGCATATTCAGCATTATAATAAATACTGTGCGTGGTTCCATTTGAAATTCTGTGAAATTTTGAGCTATGAGGAGGTGAGGATTGTGAGAATGTAGTCAAGTAGAGCAATGAAGTGAGTTGACATGGATCTCTTGCTGAGTTGGAGCCCAATGGCTGAGAGGTGGTTTTGTTCTTTCATTGCTACTGGCTACATCTAAATAGTGACGGCTCTTTAACATCTGTTTCCATTTAGAAGCTTGTAAAATAGCTAGTTGTGTTTGTGAGGTCCTTTGAGAATCTTTAATGAAAAGGACAACTACGTTAATAGTCTGAACCATAACTTGGGTATGCATGAAGCACTTCTTAAACCAACATCATTTCATTGATTCACCCACTAGTGACACAAATTTAATCTCATTGATTAGATGACATTGAAGTACTGTACCATGTTGTATCTGCATTGTGGGCTTGGAGTTTAACTTTTTCCCATCTATTCTTTGAGAATCCTATTACTGAGCTCATCAACTTTCATCTCTTATAAGGGCCAATATTTTCCCATGATACAGACTTTAGAAAAAATCCTTGTTTGTAATGCATGTAAAACTTACTGTTTTCTACCAAGTGACATTTGCACCTACCACGTACAGTTGTTTATCTTCTTATCCATCAGTTCAAATAACAAAGTTACTCTGGCAGGGGGAAAATAAGAACTCTGTCCCAAGTAAACACCCATTTTGTGCTCTAAATAAAAAGAAACAAATCAACATAGATGTGTTTGGTTTTATGACTATAGTGGTACCTCGGGTTAAGAACTTAATTCGTTCTGGAGGTCTGTTCTTAACCTGAAACTCTTCTTAACCTGAAGCACCACTTTAGCTAATGGGGCCTCCTGCTGCCACTTGCCGCTGCATGATTTCTGTTCTCATCCTGAAGCAAAGTTCTTAACCCAAGGTACTATTTCTGGGTTAGCGGAGTCTGTAACCTGAAGCGTCTGTAACCTGAAGCGTATGTAACCTGAGGTACCACTGTACATGGTTGATATTTTGCAGAATTTTGAGTTACTTAACAGGAACTGGGTATAGAAGGAATAGGAAGAGATGAGACATTATGAAGCAAGACTAGAAGGTGTTGGAATAGCGGTGGAGTTTCAAGGCTTCACGGCAGCCTTAGCTCCTTTGATACTTCCTATTTTTCTAATATTTTCTACATCCATCATGACTAGGAACCTGTAAATAAAGAGCTGAAATTTAAAGGAGTTGAGATCCTTAGAGCCAAATTCTCAACAGAAAAGAGCACACAATCACATGGAATTGAAGCCCTAGACAAAATCTGGCATGCGTGGAACACTGGCCATACCATACCTTCCAAGTGGAAGGGGGGAGGAATAATAATAATATGCTGCCCATCTGACTGGGTTGCCCCAGCCAATCTGGGCTGCTCCCAACAAAAAATGTACATCACACACTAAAAACTTGCCTGAACAAGGCTGCCTCCCAGAATTATGAAAGCCATTGCGGGTTCTGATTTGATCCCGGAATGTCCTTATTTCCTCTGCCAGTGATGCTGCCACCGAGCTCAAGAAGGAAGATGAGCCAGCACTTGTCCTGAGCAGCTGTGGCAGCGAGGGAGCATCCTGTTGCCTCTCCATGGCCGCTGCTGCCGGCCTCCTCCCTTGGGCAGATTGTGGCAGCTGCGGGAGGGGGGGGAGGCTGTTGCCGCTGAGGCCCAGCCTTGCATGATGTGCTGGCTGTGAGGTGCAGGCAGAGAGCAGGGCTACCCTGGGTGGGAAGAAAGGCGGAACGCAAGGAGTAGAGTCTTTGATTTAATAATATTAATTTTCCTGTGTGTGTGTCTGTCTCCAATCTTGCCCCTTTCTAAAATTTATTTATTGGTGCGTTTCTTTTTGTAAATCTACCAAAGAATTAAAAAAAATCAGAATTAAGGGCAAAGGCACGTCAGTGGCATGTGTGTTGTGTCCCATTGGTGAAGTCGTGGTGGCGCTTGCCCTTCTGGTAGGAAATGCTTGGGGGGGGAGAAATGGGGGGGTCGTGGAGGTTCAGTTGGGAGGAGTGAGAAAATGTCCCTTTTTTTTCATCTGAGGAACGTTGGAGGGTATGGCATACTTGTATGAGCAACAGCCAGTCCGTGTTTACTCCTTTCTTTACGTTCCTTGTAATCTTTTCATTTCCATTCAGTTACTGGCCTTTGGAAAACTACAGAACACTATTCTGAGTAGCTGTATTGGGATTGTAGATTTGAGATGTAACAGTATAATAACCAAATGCTTGATCCATATAAGGGCCAGATCAGTTTATGTGTGCAGAGAGAGATGAGATGGATAGATCGCTAATACGTCAGAGATATGAGTGAACAGTAGGTAATACTGAATATTTATGTACAACATTTTATTAGTATTTGATGCTTCTCATATATTTCACTGATCCTTACGAAAACCCTGTTAATTGTCAGTTCACGTCCTATGTTCTACTGAGAGAGGTGGTGGCTTGGGTAAAATCAGCTAGTGACATGGCCAAGAGGAAGATTAAACCAGGGGTTTATGGCTCATGTCTTTAGTCTACTGTTCTACGGGGGCTCTATAAAACTTAATGGTCTGTCTTGATATTCTACATTATCTTTTTGTGAGTTTTAGTTCTGAAGGAGTAAGTGAGTTAATTTGTAAGACAAAACAATGGATTATGCTTGTCATTCAGACAGACTACAGCCTTCTCTATGGCACAATCCTCTATGACCCATCATGTGTTAACTGAAATGAATTACACCTTTCAAAGCAATAGGTGGCAGTGAATCTCTAGTTATTTCAGACTACAATACCAACATAGTCCATGGTGATGCTGGTGAAAAATCTGCTAGTGTAATTAACTGCATTGGGAATAATTAAGAGAAAATGTGATTGTTGACCCCAAGGTTTAGTTACTATAATACACAGATTTATCAGAAGTCCATTCTGATAAATGTGGGCATGTGATAACTTCAACTGGAGATATGTTTTCAATTACTTTGCAACTGGATGACATAGCTGAGTGATGGTATATGAGGGATAGCCAGTTGGTGTCTTACAAACTGGATTAAGTCCCTAAGGCAATTCTGTCTGTGGCCCTGGTGACCATCATAATTTTTAATTCATGGTATGGTAAAATATTTACGCAACTGTAGGAGAGGAGAAAGCATTGTTTCCAAAAGTTAGACATGCAACATGCAACATTTATATCCTTCACTTTCATTTTTTAACAGCATTTAATCCTCATGCATGTATATCTATACATGCCTGGGCATACACACTCCATAACTGGGGGATCCTAACTGGTGACAGCTTCACAGGTGGTTAAGCTTTACAATAAAGGAGTTTTGCTATGTGGCAAAATACATTTCCTGTGTATTTTGCCACATAGGAAGTGTATTGGTAATTTCCTTCTATAGAGGTAAACCCAGGGATGCTTTTCCAATTGCTTTTTCAAGATGCTGGCAAATGCTCAGAAATCCATAAAAATAGTGGGGGAACACGCAAGTATCCCTCTGAGAAAAGACCAAGAAGATTGGCTCTGAAGGTCATGCAGCTTTTCCAAAGATAGCTATAGCTGTTACTGTTCCACTTTTAGCATTTCTCCAGAAGTTCAGGTGCAGGTGCAACTCCCGATCGTACGTTTGCCTCCCTAAGCAGCAGGAGAACGGCTCTTGCTGTTAGCAGTGCCAAAGGGGATTCCAGGGCATCCTTTGTCCAGACTGCAGTTCAGAAGTGCTGGAATATTAATGCTCTTAAAGCTCAGAGGTCGTTTTATTTATTGTTTACAGGTGGGCGGTACTATCCCTAAAATGCAAATTTGTTTTTACAAAATCGTAATAAGGAATTTTAAAATACAATTGATCATGGATACTATAAACCAATTAACCCTTTTTTCTAAAAAAAGGAAAAACAAAAAAGCTAGTGGGGCAATAGAATGGAAGTGTATTACGTTATTAAGTAATGAATGGGAGTATTTTATCTTGATTTTAATAATGCAGGAAAACAGTGACCACTTAATAAAGCTACTTGAACAAATGCACAGTTTGTTGCATGAAACATAAAGGAATCAGAAAAGAGAGCAAGGAAATCAGAAGGAAAAGCTGCACCCAAGTGTCCCATTATATTTGACACTGCTTTACTGGGAGCAACCAGGAATGGATTCCTACATTTCCACTGAAGAAAGCACAGACCATTGCAAAAAGGCTTGATGTAGGGTAGAAGATTATATTTTAATTGGATGAGCTCTAATTATTGCAACTCCAAACTCCAGTGTATTTTTTCCTAAAAATGTATTCACACAAAGAACTGCTTACTGTGCCACAAAAGTGTGATAGGTTTAAACAGCATTGCCTTGCTAAGAAATACTCTTAATCTAGGTAAAATTAGTCATGGCTAATTTCCTCTGAGTAAGCCATAGTAAACAGAGGCCTCATCCACACTCCTGCTTGCCCTGCCGCTTCCCCCTGGGAAAACCCACAGCTTAGCACTGAAGCAGAACAAAGGGCAATCAGGTTTTCCATGACCGCCATTTGCTCTGATTTAGCACTAAAGAGAGGGTTTCCCAGGGGAAAGCAGTGGGGCAAAGGCAATAATGCTCAGACCTGTGCCTAGAAAGCACAGGACAAGTCGAAAACCGCCTGGACCCACGTTTTCCAAGTGTAGGACAAGCAGAAATGTGGGTGAGCCCAGAGAGAACCTGCTTTTGAATAAACACACATGGGATTGGAACTTAATGTACATTGTATGAATGTTTACTAAAAAGCAAGTCCCTTCGAGGCTTATAGTCTGGTAAATGGTTATAGGACCACAGCTTAGGTTTCCAGTGGACCTTAGCTGTGACTATCCTTAGCTGAATTGGAGTCACTTTCATCAGCTGCTATTCGTTTCTGAAAAACCACACAGGCCCCACAGGCTCCATCTTTAAAAGAACAGCCCATAGTGTGAGCTATAAGAATAAGGGGAAATGGCAACATATGAAATAACCACCCAGGTAATCTGTAAATATAGGCTGATATTTGAACTTTTTCTATT